AAACTTAATTTTTGATTAGTAATATGCATTGCTAAGAACTTCATTTGAACAACTTTAAAGATGATTTTCTCAATATTTAGATTTTTTTGCATCCTCAGATTCCAGATTTTCAAATAGTTGTATCTCGGCCAAATATTGTCCTATCCTAACAAACCATACATCAATGGAAAGCTGATTTATTCATCTTTCAGATGTTGCATAAATCTCAATTTCGAAAAATTGACTCTTATGACTGGTTTTGTGCTCCAGGGTCACAAATATGATATCTGCACGCTGTGATTGACAGCTCCCTCAGCTAGTGTTAATTTTATCAGCTATTTTTAGTCTTAGTCCCGTGTTAAATGTCCTTGTTAGTTTTTAGCATATTTAGTTCCTATTTATTTTCAGTCGACTAAAATCTCAACATTTTAGTCTAATTTTAGTCAATGAAAACTTGACATTTTAGCAATAAGATTATTATTAATTAACCGTACAGCAGTATTAATTTTGGCAGTCATTTTTAATTTAGTCTTAGTCTTACTCAAATGTACATTTTAGTTATCATATTTAACATCAATGGAAAGCTGATTTATTCATCTTTCAGATGTTGCATAAATCTCAATTTCGAAAAATTGACTCTTATGACTGGTTTTGTGCTCCAGGGTCACAAATATGATATCTGCACGCTGTGATTGACAGCTCCCTCAGCTAGTGTTAATTTTATCAGCTATTTTTAGTCTTAGTCCCGTGTTAAATGTCCTTGTTAGTTTTTAGCATATTTAGTTCCTATTTATTTTCAGTCGACTAAAATCTCAACATTTTAGTCTAATTTTAGTCAATGAAAACTTGACATTTTAGCAATAAGATTATTATTAATTAACCGTACAGCAGTATTAATTTTGGCAGTCATTTTTAATTTAGTCTTAGGCTTACTCAAATGTTATCATATTTAGGCAGCCTTGTCCTGTTTTTGTTCAGTCAAGTTTAACTCAACGAAATGTCTGAGCGTTTTAGTCAATGAAATCTTAGTCACATTTTCGTCATGCTGTATTATGGTTAAACTGATAAAAATTAATTTAGCTCAAAATTATAATCGTAATGATTGTTGTCATTTGAGAAATTTATTTTTGCATTTCAGGAATTGCACTTTCTCCAGTGAACACAAATCAATAGAACTCGTGGTGTATTTTCCCTCATCTAGTGTACTGATTTATTATAGGCTTTTTATATAAATTAATATCAAAGACTTATGCACTCTCTCTGTCTACATTATAAAAACTGGTATAAAAAAAAAAAAAGAATATTATAACGGTGTAATTTCAAACTACAATAGCCTGTTTCTCTATTAAAACAACAGCGGTTGAGTAAGTGCATTTATTCAGAAACCAGTGTCGCTGTTTTCAATGAAGCACTGAAGAGCGAGTGCATGGTTGCCAGATTGCTTAAAATAAGCAAAACACCAGGCAGAAAATGTATCAATGTATCAGCGGAGCTCGGGGATTAGAACTCTGGATATCTGGCAACCGCACTCATGAAAGCTGATTTAGTAGAGGAGTGTAGAGCAGTCTGCAATAACACTCGGTCTTCTTTTATGACGAAAATAAAAAGAGGTTTTTTTGTACAGTTTTTATTTTTTGCATACATTTTAGTCTCGTCTTTTATCGTCAGCGAAATTGCATGTTGATATAGTCATATTTATCGTTTATTGACCTTATTGTCAACCTTACATCAACAAACATTTTTCGTCACAGTTTTCGTTAACGAAAGTAACACCACCCTCAGCCAATCGCACACCTGCACCATGAAGTAGTCGCAGAAGCTCCAGCCGGGCTCGGTGCGTTTCTCTCGCAGCGTCCTCATCTCGTCCTCGAAGCGGCCCAGATTCCTGGTGAAGGACATGAGCAGCAGCGTGCGGAGCTTCGTGAGGAACGAGCTCCAGGACTCCTGCGAGCGCGACGACTCCTTCAGCGGATCGCACAGAGACACACACCTGCAGACACACAGCAGACACTGGCTTACACAGTCTGCATTACACACTTACATCACATTAAATACATTACCATATGTGACCCTGCAGCACAAAAGCAGTGTTAAGTCGCTGGGGTATATTTGTAGCAATAGCCAACAATACATTGTATGGGTCAAAATTATACATTTCTCTCTTATGCCAAAAATCATTAGGATATTAAGTAAAGATCATGTTCCATGAAGATATTTTGTAAATGTCCTACCGTAAATATATCAAAACTTAATTTTTGATTAGTAATATGCATTGCTAAGAACTTCATTTGTGCGTCACAGAGCAGAGCATGCTGGGATCAGGAGCTCACCTGTCGCTCTGCTTGTTGCAGAAGTCGCTGCGGATTTTGTCGACGATGGAGGTGCGCGGCAGGAGGTTGGTCTTGTTCTTCTTCTTGTTGTCGCTCTCCACCACCGCGATGAGCCAATCCACCGAACCGTGCAGACGCAGAGCTGCCTGCCAGCGCTGCATGTCCTCCTTCACCGACGCCTTGTACACCTCCGAGTCCTGACACACACACATTTAACCATTTATTTAAATCCACTTAAAATAAATAATTTACAGGGACATAAATACTACAGATGCAGTTAGATACATGTACATTATACCATGCGGGTATAAATCCATATCATGTTTGGTACCCCAAGTCCTCCGTCTCATTGGGGATGAAAAATAATATCACGAGTGCTATGTACTTTCGCACTAAGCTCACTGTTTTACACACTGACACACACACTTTAACCATTGGTTAATGGCAATAATGAAATGAACTGCACTCCAAGGGAAGCCAGTTTTAATGCCTATCTGAAGTGGTGTTGGGTGAGTGGGCTGTTCTCCACAGATTACTTTGATAAAGGAGCCTCTATAAACATCCTTCACTATGTCAATGAACCGTTGAGGTAGCTGTATTTCTTCCAGTGATCTGAACATGACATCGTGAGATAGAGTTCCAAATGCATCTCTAAAGTCTAAGAAGACTGAATACAGTCTACATGACTCATGCTTAAAGCCATCTATCCCTGTTTTAAGACAAAATACATGCTCATGAGATGCGTGTCTCTCTTTCTCACACACACACACACACACTCACACACACACACACACACTCACACACCCACATACACAAACACACACACACTCTCTCTCTCACACACACACACACACATAAAAACACTCTCTCACACTCACACTCACACACACACACACACACACTCACACAAACACACACATAAAAACACACACACACACACACACACACATAAAAACACTCTCTCACACTCACACTCACACACACACACACACTCACACACCCACATACACAAACACACACACACTCTCTCTCTCACACACACACACACATAAAAACACTCTCTCACACTCACACTCACACACACACACACACTCACACACCCACATACACAAACACACACACACTCTCTCTCTCACACACACACACACATAAAAACACTCTCTCACACTCACACTCACACACACACACACACTCACACACCCACATACACAAACACACACACACTCTCTCTCTCACACACACACACACATAAAAACACTCTCTCACACTCACACTCACACACACACACACACACACATAAAAACACACTCACACACACACACACACACACACATAAAAACACTCACACACACATATAAAAACACACTCTCTCACACACACATAAAAAACACACTCTCTCACACTCACACACACACAAAAACACACTCTCTCTCACTCACACACACACACACACACACACATAAAAACACTCACACACACATATAAAAACACACTCTCTCACACACACACACACACACACTCTCTCACACACACACACACACACACTCTCTCACACACACACACACACACACTCTCTCACACACACACACACACACACTCTCTCACACACACACACACACACACTCTCTCACACACACACACACACACACTCTCTCACACACACACACACACACACTCTCTCACACACACACACACAAACACACATAAAAACACACTCACACTCACACACACACAAACACACATAAAAACACTCACACACACAAACACACACATAAAAACACACTCACACACATAAAAACACACATAAAAAACACACTCTCTCACACACACACACACACATAAAAAACACACTCTCTCACACACACACACACACAAACACATAAAAACACACT